CACAAAAGAATTGTTTTTCTTTTATGTATTCTGTTAATAGTAATTGCTGTTGTAATAAGTTACTTTTAACACATATTTGCCTTTGTTTGCAAAATACTAGTAAAAATTTTAAAAAGAAAAAAAGTTTACTATGGCACAGAACTCAAACAAAGCAACCTGTGGTTTGTTCATAAATTGTTAAATATAAATTGAATTAAAAATAGCTGCCGCCTACTTTCTCCCTGCATTCAGTGAAAATCAATCAGCACTGTATTGAGAAAGTGGTTTTTCTTCTGGCTTGCTCACACCAGTAGTTAATTGCTAGCAAAGACATATTTTTTCATTTTATGGTGGTGGTTTAAATGTATTTGTATTACTGTTATCGTAAAAATCAATCTGAAGTGGTGGGCGAAAGCTTACAGCACCCAGAAAATTGTCTATTTTTTACTTTCAAAACATGGAATGTTTTAAATGCTATGTGAATAAGTGAAGTGGGTTCTCTTCTGACCCTTTCAGATTTTGTGTTTGGGTGAGCATTGGGGGCTGCAATCTCTTTTTCTGGCAGGGCTTCTCTGCTATATGAACATGGTGGTTCCCTCCCACTTTCATGCCTGATTATAGGAGACCAGAAGCAGCAAAACACAAGCTGGACTAGGGAAATGCAAGTTCAAATCTCCTGGGCAGCTGAATGGATGACACTGGGGTAGTCATTGTCTCTCAGCTTGACACAGTAGTAGTGAGGACAAAAGAGAAATCCCATAGATGCAAGCAGGATTTGGCAAAGGAATAGGTACTAGGGACCATATTGCAAACATACAATAGATCAGGGGTAGACAACCTTTCCCCTTTAAGGGCCGAGGGACTTCAGCTCCCAGAAGCCTTAGCCATGTTGGCCAATAGTCCCATGTTGGCCAATAGCTCCTGGGATTCTGGGAGCTGAAATCCCTCGGCCCTTAAAGGGGAAAGGTTGCCTACCCCTGCCCTATTTGTTCAAATTGTATGCAGAAAATGTAAAGAGAGCAGTTTAACAAACATCAGAAGAAAGATGACACCATAATACTAGCAAAAAACACTGTAGACTTGGAACAATTACTAAGGAAAGTTAAAGAAGAAAGTGCAAAGGCAGGCATACTACCGAACGTAAAGAAAACAAAAATAATGACCGCGGAGGATATACATAAATTCAACCTATACAATGAGGAAATTGAAATAATTAAAAATTTCCCGTACCTCAGGTCAAATATTGACCAGAATGGAGACTACAGTCAGAAGGAGACTAGGAATGGGAAGGGCAACTATGAAAGAATAGATGAGATCCTAAAGTGCAAAGATATACAATTGAACACTAAAGTTCGAATTGTCCAAGCCATTGTATTCCCTATCACTATGTACAGATGTGAGAGCCGGACAGTGAAGAAGGATGACAGGAAGGAAATCAACTCATTTGAGATGTGGTCCTGGAGAAGAGTGCTGAGAATACCACGGACAGCCAAAGAGACAAACAAATGGGTGCTAGAACAGATCAAGCCTGAACTCTCACTGGAAACCAGGATGACAAAACTGGGGCTGTCATATTTCGGCCACATCATGAGAAGGCAAGACAATGATGTTGGGCAAGGTAGAAGGCAGGAGAAAGAGAGGAAGACCACACGCCAGTTGGCTAGACTCAGTCACAGGATTGAATCTACAGGATCTGAAATGGAGTGAAATGGAGGATAGGGGGTCTTGGAGATCTCTCATCCACAGTTGCCATGAATTGGGATCAACTCAGAGGCCAAGAACAACTACAAAGTGAGGATAAAAATGGCAGGGAGATTGTATTGTAGCTGTCTTGGGTTCCTTGAAAGAAAGATGGGGATAAAATTCAAAGATTTAGCTGTGTTAGTTTATTGAATCAGTATGTAGAGAGATCTTGTAGCACTTTTACTAACTGAAAGAAAGAAGTTGGCAGCATGAGCTTTTGTAGACTCCACCAAATGCATCTGAGGAAGTAGACTTCCAAATTTTTTCTTTCAGATGAGGAGAGAAATATAGTAAGAAAATGTGTGTGATTTTGGCCTTTGGATACTCATGGAAGCAGTAGGAAGGATGTAGCTTACCGGTAGTAGAGCACATGCTCTGCATGCAGGAGGTCTCAGATTCAGTCTCTGGAATCTTCATGGAAAATCCTGTTCTAAAATCCCTGAAGAACTGAGAAAATGTTACACTAAATTGCCCAATGTCTGATTTGTTATAAGACAGATTCCTATGTTTTCTGGTTTCCTTTATTTTCTTTCTATCTCACACCCCTTTACAGCATTTGCAGTGCTCAGCTCAAGCAATTATTGGAGCAGTTTAACAAACAGTATAATCCAACAGAAGTTTAATTACCAGAAGCAGAAATAGTAAAAACTGAGGTAAGTGCAGCAAATGAGATCAGTCTTTGAAGGTAACCACCACCACTTGAGATTGTGCCCAGAAATGAATTGGCAAGACATTTGTTGTTTCCCTCCAGTTTCTGGCACTCAGAGGTGCACTCTTCACATGACAAGCAGAAATATACCCAGCTGATTCCTTTTCATCTCAGTATTTTTATGATAGGGAAAGTGACAGCTACTGAACCCCTGCATGTGTCATATCATTATAAACATAGCTCTGTATAGTAGAAGCCACATGGCTGCATTTTGGAGAGGGAATCTTCAGTCAATAAGGTTGGCACATATAAAATTGATTCTGGTTCTTAGGGATGTGATGTACTTTCTGTCATCTCTTCTTTGGGTGATTTTCCTCTCTCCCATGTTTCTCTTAGAATCGCTGACAGAGTCTGTGCTGGAAAAGTATGGATTTCCTAATGATGGAACTCAGATCAGATGCTACACAAATCATGCACTGTCTTATGACCAAGCGAAACGGGTACCTAGATGGGTGCTTGAACATATTTCCAAACATAAGACCTTGGGTAAGTGAAACTTGTATGTATCTGTCCAGCTATTGTAACTAATTTCTTTGCAGGTAGGAGGTGATTCACATCCATGTATGAGTAATAGGCCTACCTAGGGCAGCCAGATGTAAAAGAAGGCAGGACTCCTTGGCCTTGTCTTCTCCCATCATGTATCAGATGTTGGGAACTATGTTGGCTTTGATCTTGGAGGTGCTAACACTATAAACGCTCTACAATCCCTACCTCCCCTGTATAAAGGACAATGCTAGTCTTTCCTGCAATGTAGAGTTTCATGTAGGCATACCTTCCAACTGTCTCAGTGGCCCCATTTAATCCATTATCAGCTGAATTTCTTGGCTTATTTTAAATGATCCCTTTTCTTGCTCCTCTTTCCATTTTCTTCCACTGTCCTCATCTACTTCCGTTGCTGCCAACTGAGTTCAAAGTGCAGAAGTAGTTGTATTCAATTAACTCAACATTCAAGTGTGTGTGTGAAGTCTTACTCTTTCATAAGATCACTGGATTTTTCACTTTTCAGTACACAAATCTGCTGAAAATAATAGTTGTTATTACAACTATTACAACACCCACAGCCACCACACTTATCCCATGTTAAATTTGTGAGTATGTGTAAATCCTGGTATATACTCTCAGCTCATGTAAATAAGAGGCCATTGTTCTGTTCACATATGTGAATTGTACATGTTGTGGTGTCTTTTTTTATTTTTCAGCATGTACGTATGTATTACTACATCATGTTATATTTTAATCAAAAGGCTACCACAATATTTGTTATCTTGTTCCTCAGGCAATGCAGACAGAAAACATTGTAAATTTCGACCAGATCCTAACATCCCTCCAATGTTCAGTGCTATGAATGAAGACTACTTTGGGAGTGGCTGGTCACGAGGTCATATGGCACCAGCAGGAGATAACAAATACTCACCAGTAGGATTGCTTCATAACTTTTTGGGGTTTTGTTTGTTTGTTTCTTTCAAGAGGGGAAGAAAGAATAAAAATAAGTGACACCATGGCGTTTTCAGCAGTTGTTAGAATTATGGGATCAAAGTAGAATCCATAATTCCTGAATCTATCAGCGGGTTGTCTAGTTTTTCTCTGGTCAAATCTCTCAACTTTTGTAACTAGCTTATAGTGAAGTGGAGGAGAAGGGAGTAAGTAATTTAAAAAGTGAATAGAATTTTAAGATTCCAGTCTTGAAATGCCATACACCATATAACTGAATGATGACAGGGCATTGTTCTGTGTATAAATGTACTTGCTGATTGTTGATAGTGAAAAGAGGTATACATTAATATTTGACCACTTCATTCTGGCTAATGTGCTTAAGTAGGCTTTGGCATTCATCCGCAATTCAATTATGATTCTTTTTCTTATATAGAAAGCCATGGCTGAAACCTTCTATCTGTCCAATATTGTGCCTCAGAACTATGAGAATAATGCTGGATTCTGGAATAGGTAGGTTGCTGCTACATTAACTTCATACAGTATAAAATTCAGTTTTGTGATAGATCTATAAACGTAATGAACAGGTTTCATCCCAAATTGGAGAGAATTTTTAAAAGGGGGGAAGGATGGAACATTTGAGGACCAAAGGACAAGAAATAAAGTAGAAGAAGTAGTTCTCTCTCTGATAGTGGGAACAACCCAATATTAATATTCTGATTGTTAGCTGGAATGCTCCTACAGCCATTGTTATGCAATGAAGGGAATGCTGCCAAGGGCAAGTAGCATGCATTTTAAACCTTATTCCAGGGTTCAAATATTTATTTATTGAAATTTATAATCTTCCCCTTCTTGAAGACTTACAGTTCATAACCATTGAAAGAATACAAATCCAATGAAATGGAATTAAATTAAATTAAATTAATTAGACACAAGTTAGAAATAGAATTAGCTTGCTTCAAACAGAGGGACCAGTATGACAGTAGTTTCAATTAATCTGCTAGTGCTGGTGAGTTCGTGAATAATTCTTTCTTCCCACTTGCTACAAACAGATATTCTCACCTGTATGCTTGTCAACAAGGTGAAAACAAAGGCATGTTTCCATTAAGCAACCAGATATAAACAAAGCGTTGTCTCCTAGCATCTGAAAGGAGCAAGCAATAGTTGGCTTCAGTGATTCAGTCATATTTAATCAAATAATCTTCTCCAAGGTGTAAACCAAACATAAGCATAAAACAATCAAGGAAAATAGGAAATGTAAAGCAGAGAATGCAGCTTTGAATAAATCAGTAAGTGATTATTCAGTGAAAAACACTCAAATGCGCCATCTGCTCTTTTTAGTTTAGTGCCATATTTGAGAAAGATGAAAAGAGTTTTGTTTCACCTTAAAAACTCTTTCTCGTTCTCTTTCTCTCCCCCTATGGCATACTCTTTAAGGTGTTATAAGACTGTGCTGTGGCAGACTAAGATAGCTACCATTTAGAATAATCACATTGGTAAAAATGAATATTTCAGTATCTTTTTATACGCTGTAGCCCTGTAATGATCCCCTTAAAATGCGATTTGGGCCTAAGTCCAGCATATGCTGGCATGGCATCACAGCACCGTAGAATGTCTGTTTGCTTTTCTGCATCCTTTGGAGCCTTCTGAAAACTGGATCTGGGTGATTTCTCAGTCCTTTGAAACTTGGATCCTATAGCAAGAGAAAGGTGGGATGTAAAATAAACATTTATGTCCCACCTTTCCCCTGGCATAGGATCCATTCCATACATCTACGGAACTGTTTTTCTGCATGGGAAAAGAAGATCACCACCCTCCTGATTTGTACTTAATTCTCCTGTTCTGCCAGTAGAAGGTCAGTACTGGATACAGCCCATAGAGTCCTTGTGCACAAGTAGTTTATCTCACTATGATTTTTTTCCTCACCTTGTGGGGATTGCACCTTTCAGATTAAATTTTTAACACAATTGATGTATAAAACCTTCTGGTTTGCTTCATTGTGTGTAAAAGTTAAATAGTGTTTGAACCAAATTTAGCTGGAACAAAAAATACGGTTGGCTTTTGTTTCCTTTTGGTACCAAATACCTGTGGAACAAAGAGGAGTGTGTATGCGAAGACTCTTGCAAATTAATGGAAATGGGGTGGCTTTTAGCTACTGAGGATAAAAAAAATATTTTTGTTAGAAACAGTAGAAAATGGCCCAAAACTGATCTATGATTAGACACTAAAAGCTCCACATAGGAATCAGTTGGAAATTCATGCTTACATTTGCCAGATTTCTGGCATATGTGCACTCATTATGCTTAATTTCATATACATGGAAAATGCTGCGCTCTTGTCCACTTGCCTTCCTTTGTTGTAGACACTGTTAGATTCCCCCCTTTCAGATTCCCATCTGTTTACCCAGTCTGTTTGGTATATTTATAGAATAGAAATGTATTGCCGAGAACTGACAGAAAGATTTGAAGATGTTTGGATTGTTTCTGGACCTTTGACATTACCTCAGGTGGAAGATGATGGGAAGAAAAGAGTTACTTATCAGGTAAGTAAATGGCACTGTGTAAACCTTGCCATAATATTTGGGAACAAAGTTCCCTTCAATTTGTTTGGATCTTTCTTTATTCTGTGTTTTCTTATTGTCATTGTTATGTGTTTTCTACTTGTTTCTGACATATGGCACCCCAGGGCAAACCTGTGACAGGGTTTTCTTGGTGAAATTTGTTCAGAAGGGGCTTGCCTTATTTCCATGGCTGAGCAGGGATTTGAACCCCGGTCTGCAGGATTCTAGTCCAATGCTCAAGCCACCTACACCACTCTGGCTCTCCATGTTTTCTGAATATTGTCTTGGGGTTGCGTGCATGAAGAGAGTATGATTTTAGGAAGCCATGTACCTATGTAGATGAGGAGTGCTCTCATTCTGTGCTGTCCACACCTGAATACAAATATGGGATCGTGCACATGGGGTAGGCCAGTGGCTTGAGTCACTGAACTAGAGTCATGTGTTTTGAGGAGAAGCAGTGGCACTTTTTGGATGATAGCCCATGGGTGCTGAGCACCAAATTGAAGCAAGACAGTACATGCCTTATATACATGGAGCAGATACTAGAAGTTTCGAGGTGGGTTCTTAATGGAGCATTCTATGAAACAAATCAGAGTTCTGAGTCCTGAGTAGTGAAGTTGCGTATGACATGTAAAGAGTGCAATTAATTTTGTGAATCACTTTGTGTGGGTTTACTAGAAAAGTGACATAAAATATGGAAGTTTTTCTTTTTCTATTTATTTAATCAGGAGCAGACAAAACATGGCTCACAGGTCACATGCAACTCCCAAGGGCCATTGTTATGGTCCCCAGGACGCCCAAAGAAAGTCAGAAAATATTTTTTCTTCTCTCCAAAATGGCCATAAAGGGGGTGTAGAGAGTATTTCCACATGGTCATAGCCTCCTGGACCTCCCAGGGGTCAAAATGAAATTTTGTAGAACTTTTCAAAAAAAATTATTTTGCCTCAGGATGTCCCAACATGTCCTCTCTAGGGCCTGGAATGCCCCATAGCAAGCCCCCATGAGGGTGTTTGGGGGCCAAAAATTGGTTTATTTTTGCAGAAGCATGTCCAGCCCACCAAGATATTCTGGAGGGATAATGCGCTCCCCCCCCACACACAGTTTTTCTCACTTGAATTAAAGCATATTTTAACACGTTTTAGTATAATTTATTCTGTTAATAGTATTTATAGGGAATTTTGAGAAACATGCAGTTCTATTCTGGAACCCCTTCCTCTGTTGCCATTAAATGTTGCTACACACCACCAAGCCTCTCTTCATAGTCAAGTGATCTAGTAACCTATATCCTTCCCTCTGCTTCAGATAAAAGAGAATCTCAGGATATTGTTTTTGTATACAATCCTAAATTTTTAAAATTGTTTTTCTGAATTGCAAAATAGACTTATCACTGGTTTGTAACTTGATTTTTTAACTTAGATTTTCCCCAGACTTTGGAATAGTTATTGGAGGAGGCAGGGAACTGTAGTTCAAATTATAAGTTATGTAAGTTCTGAATTTTTATTAGTAAATGGCTATGAACTGTTAAAAATTAACAATACCCTAAGTGAGTTTAAATAGATGGCTTAATTAACTATTTTTATATATCTCAGGAGAGAAGAGAGCGCAATCCAAGATTTGGTGATAGCATTGTTCTTTGCTCATGCTTGTATTAAGCTGATGATGTTGTGTTCAATTCATGGGGAATTAACATGAAACTTCCTACATGCTATGATGATGTTGATATGTCTTTTGGCAAATTTGGTGTATCTCAGGCTCAACGCCTCGGTCTACATTGGTAATGGTATTTTTTGGCTAATGTAGATTGATGACCGCGCTGAGTATTTGATGCATACATTTGCAGAATATAAATATATATCTGGAAATGTAAAAAAAAAAAAATGTGGGGAAAAAAAGAATGCCAACAAGAAGAATCTGTTCTGTGTCACTGAAGAGACAGAAACACATTTTCCATCTTCCAGAGCAAATCAGTGTGACAGCATCTTGTTTTATGCATTGCTGCTCTCCAGAGAACGTCAGTTTAGTGATTTTTGTCTGCTAGCAGATTTTTGCTTCTAAATGTATCTTTTTGCAATCACTTCTCCTCCTACGCCTCCCTCAAACTGAACCTAGATTAAATGCATAATTTAGAACTTTGTCACTGAGTGTTGTCACAATCCGAATTTTTTTCCTTATATTTGTTTTATACTTCAGTGAAAACAACTTGTTTAAGGGAGTTCCAGTGTAAAAGTAGCTATGTGGGTAGCCATAAATCTCCTTTTAACAAACCATGTTGCATCCAGCCAACCAAAAATAGCAGAGAGATTAAGAACTCAAAAGGAGGCTCTAAGCAAATATACTAATTTCTTTGCAAAAATGAGTAATCTAACATATTAGTAATTTGTTGTTGTTGTTGTTGTGTTCCTTTAAGTCATATCTGACTTATGCCAACCCTAAGGTGAATCTATCATGAGATTTTCTTGGCAAGGTTTGTTTAGAGTGGGTTTGCCCTTGCCTTCCTCTCAGGCTGAGAGTGTGTGACTTCATAGAATCATAGAGTTGGAAGAGACCACAAGGGCCATCCAGTCCATGGTGAAAGTGTATTTGTACAACAGGCTTCCTAGCAAAAATTACTTCCTGCCCACTTTGTATTATTGCATTTATTATGGATCAATTCCTTTTTTCTTCCTCAAGACTCAACAACTTTACATTGGATTGAATAAGCTATGTAAAGGACGAAATTGTCCAGACTCTGGGAGAAAGAACATTGCATTACTAAACTGCCTCTTATGATAAGGAGAGGGTTTCCCTAGTGCAAGGCCTAAATCTAAATAGTGTTTGAATTAGCTGATTAAGTACACACATTAATTAATACCTGCCCAGTTATTCAATTACAGATATTCAGCTATGTTTGCTTTTCCATCATAATGATGTTGAATTAATTCACTTTGTTTTCAAAAGGTGAAAGACATATGGATTACAAATTGCTAACATGAAACTCCAGTGTTTGTTCATTTTGAGGAAGATCAAAATACCCAACTTATTTTTTGAATCCTTCTAGTGGAGGACTTTATACTTCATTGAATATTAATCTGGAAAAGGTTTGGAGTTGCTTCATTTGAGCACACTCTACCAGATTTGTGATTGGGTTCACCGTCCTAATCCCTAGACAGAGAAGAGAATATAACTTTGCAAAATTAGGGTTTCAGTTTTTCAAGTATAAGTATGTCCCTTCCAAATATCTTAGATATTTGGAAAAATGGAAGCTAAGGGGGGTTGCAGACTGCCAGAAATAGTGCAAATTGAGTCCACTTTTAGGGTTAGGGTTAGTGCTAGGGAATCATGGGAATTGTTTGTTTTTTTCTGAGACATTGAGCCTTCTCTGTCAGAGAGCTCTGGTGCCACAATAAAATACAGTTCCCATGATTCCCTAACCCTAAAAGTGGTTTGCACTATTTCTGGCAGTCTGCAACCCCCCAAAATCCCAACAGGATATCTAGTGTTGCAAGAGAATAAGTAATCATACAGCCAATACCAAAATAATCTAAAAACAGAAACACATTCTTTTATGCACTGAATAGTAATTTAATGTAAAGGAAAGAATAATTTGTGTTACAGGTTATGTTAGCAGTACATTGCACCAAAATGAATTCTTGTAGATACACTCATGTGCATCTCATTAGTTCTTGTCTTGCCTAACTGTTGAGAATAGATATCTAAAACCTAGAAGACATTTGTGGCAAAACAACAACAAAAAATTATGAAGCTGCTTTGCTTTGTGTAAAATCCCACCCGTTATGACCCGAATATAAAATACCGGTCAAAATGTCTTATTTAGCTCACATGTTCCTAGATATTCTGTTAACAATTTTTTTAAAGTTAATAATAACAAGAACTGCAGCACTTAATTGGTAAATTATTCCATGAAAGTTGTAATTGATTACTCAAAAGTAATGTAATTGGTAGGGTGGAAAATTAAGGAGATATCTGTTTATGCTACTTTGGTCCTGGAGCCACGCTGCAACAAGGAAGAGGAAAGTGTGGCTTGTGAGTTGCAGGTGGCCCTTAATTCACCAATACGTCACTGTTAAGACCCTCTGACCTCCAAAATGTGTTTTTATTTTTTTCCTGCTTGTTTTTTTTGCCTCCAAATTCCTGCAAAAGACTCACTTTACTTTTAAAGCTCTACATGGCCTGGGCCCAACCTACTTAAGGGATCGCCTTCTTCCATACAGTCCACCCCACACCCTCAGATCCTCTGGGAGGAATCTGCTGCAACCGGTAAAAAGTAGATTAGCGGCAACCTCCCAGAAGACATTGCCCCCAGATTGTGGAACGCCTTGCCGGAGGAGATCCATCAAATAACCAACTTGGACAGCTT